ATTAGGTTGGAGGCCATCACTATTAGGTTGGAGGCCATCACTATTAGTTTGGAGGCCATCACTATTACGTTGGAGGCCATCACTATTAGGTTGGAGGCCATCGCTATTAGGTTGGAGGCCATCACTATTACGTTGGAGGCCATCACTATAAGGTTGGAGGCCTTCACTATTTGGTTGGAGGCCATCGCTATTAGGTTGGAGGCCATCACTACTAGGTTGGAGGCCATTGCTATTAGGTTGGAGGCCATCACTATTAGGTTGGAGGCCGGTTGGAGGCCATCACTATTAGGTTGGAGGCCATCGCTATTAGGTTGGAGGCCATCGCAATTAGGTTTCTGTTTTTTTTGTCTGTGTTCTTTTTAATTCTATGTGCGTTTCATTTTGCTTTCTGCTTCGACCTCTTCGACCTCTGCGGCCTGTTGGACCTCTTGGACCTCTGAGCAGGTCATCCGCACCATTGAGAACCACGAGGGCCACAAAGCTTGGCACCGGAACTTAGACGCATGCGCCCGCATGTGGACTTTGCGGGACTTTGCGTATGCTCAAGAGCCTCAAGAGCCTTTTAGACAGGAATCTAAACGACTGAAGCAGCTTCAAACAGACAGAATTGATATCATTCGGTAGAGGACTCTAAATGAGATGCGAACAAGAGGCTTGCAGTCGGGATGGAGGATCAATATAATCTGCAGCAATTCTATGCAATTCTACCCAACAAATCCCAGGTTTTCATGGACATCAAATGGACACCCAAAAGGGTGTGTTTTTGCCTTTGCCCAGGATCGTGGGAGGTGCAGTACGCGATGTACTCTTGGGCGTCAAACCGCGAGGGTCTGAGATGTGTATCGTCTGAGCCTGGTGAAGAAGAGCTTGGCCTGTCCTCTGTAGTTTCAGGAGCCCTGTGAGGTGCCATCAATGGCCAAGTTTTCCCCACAGCTTCTGGTTGATTGACATGCAGGCATTGCCCATTTGCCAGGAATGATGTCGATATTGCCACTACAATGTCACCCAGTGCACTTCAGGAGGCCGAACGCATTGCCAATATGTTGGGTCAAGTGTGGGGGGGAGGTCATCATTATTTATCATTGTTTTTTCGCAGAAGCCTGTCATCTACTTCACAACATTGTCATCGGCATGTAAGACTCCTGTCGACCTGGTCAACTGTACAATGACCTATCATGGATGGAGTGGCTTGAGGACCAAGCATAAGAAAACAAAGTCAACGCAGCCAAATTCATTTTCTTGCAGTTTAATAATCCGACTAACCCCAAACCCAAATCAACCTGAAAAGCGTGCATGATTTTCAAACCGTTGCGCTGTGGGTTGCGGGGCGCCCCCATTTACCCAACATGTTGTTTCTGAAATCCATCCTCAGTTTCGAGCCCGTCAAGAACATCAAGAACCGCGGAAGTCGACCCGCCTGAAGTCGACCCACCAGCGTGCCAGATCTACCCACGTTCGATCATGGCAGGGGCCAAGCCGGACTCTTAATGCATTCGGTCTGAGGGCATTTTCTTTGGGACGAGGAGTGGTGCTTGCAATTTTTCTCGATCGTAGGCAAAGTAATTTAGGCCCAGCTAGCACAGCGGCGACTGATGAAGCTACATACTTGTGTGTATGTCACGCATTTGTTGTGTCATTTGACCAGTTTTTGGCATCAAGCATGTCAGGTAACCAGGTTTGTAGATCTATGTAATTCTACACTTTCTGGCAATAACGAAGTAACGAAACAATTATATATACTTAGAAACCAAACCTAGCAATTGGGGAATCCTGAAATACATTTGTTTTTTCTTTAACCACTTTAATCAATGCCTGGCGAGCTGTTTTTTGAGGTACGGCGTCATCACTGTGAGGCACAAGGCGTGCCGAAACTTCTCTTCGTTCAACGAGAGTAGTGAAGATAGCGTTCGCTTGGCTGGTATGGCAAGGTCTTATCTGTGTGTAGGTGTGGGTGTTTAGTTAGTTCGTTCACTTGAAAGGATACTTGAAGCAGTCTTGCATGATGTAATTATATACATGCTGTATCCCGTATCCCGGGAATTTACCCTATGGTGTGGCAATTTGTAAAGCACTTGTTCAGTATTACTTGCAAAACCTTCTTTTCATGGCTTTGCAACACCGTTTGCTTAATTCTATATTCGGAAGACAGGAAAGCTGAAATCGAGACTCAGGGCAAAGCAACCCAGATCCTCCTTGCCCACATGCTCTTGTTTTCACCATATTCTGCAATGATTTTGGACCTGAATGCATGTCAACTATCTTTGTTTGGATGATCTGTTGTTCACTTTACAGTACCATGCTGTGCCCTTTATTCTGGTGTTCACAGTGTTCTTTCAGACTACACACGTTCAGAGTGCTACGAAGGGACGAAGGGGATGTTGCTGGCCAGAACTCAACAAGATGAACCCGGCCCGTACGAGGTTCTCGTTGCAAGACACAACATGTGTCCACCAACAAACTAGGCCAAACCATCATAAGACACGCCATGACCCAATCATTGCTCTATGCTTGTGATATGGGTGTGTGTGTGTAAATTTAGGGAGGCGGTCCTGGTTCGACCCCTGGAAGAAGTTAAATAGACCTGTCTACCCCATTGGTCCAGGATGTTTGCCTTTCAACATTTCAAAATACACACACCCATATCTTCAAAAGATATGCGACTCCTGCAGCTTTTAGAGATCCTCTTCAATATGCAATGGCATGCAATGGTGTGCATTGGTTATGCATTACCCAGGCCACCTCTGAAGGCCACCTCCAGGATGTCCTGCTTGAGTGTGCGCTCATCCGCAAAGCACCGGAGAGCACCGAGGGGGCACGGCAGGAAGAGGCCGGTGAAAGGGGCTGTGGGGTGCAGCTCAGGGACCGTGCGAAGAGTAAGAGGTAGATGAAGGAGCGAGCTTTGGGCAGCACGAGACTCAACGCACGTCATGATGTGCTTTTTTCATAGGGGAAGAATGTGGACGAATGCTCGAAGTCTTGCTTTGGCCGTCAGGTGCGTAAAGCTGACCAGCTCAAGGAGGCATTACTGGGAGCCTTTGATCGGCACAAAGCCATACTTAAAACTTTAAACTTTATAATAGACATTCCATGATGTCTTCTTTTCCTCTTGGCATTCAGATTTAGAATTTCCCGATGGAAAGGTTGAGACCGGGGCAGGCAAGAGTTGCAAGAGTCCTAGCGGTCCAAAATGATTCCATTTGTAGCATCAGTGAACTATGAAGTGACAAGTTTCAACTCGGTCCGACGACCACTCACCTGCGTGGGTAGGATATCCACTGCCATGGAAATCTGTAGGTCAGAGAGTCAGACTCGCACAGAAAAATGCAGACTCGCAAGTTGTGAGTACTTTCACTTTTAGATGAAAACATGTAACGTTTAGAGTATTTTCATTTGCCACTGCCTTCGAATGTACACGGTTGTTTCAACCATTGGTCGCTGCCGATAGACAGTACCAATTCACCCTAGGTGGTGGGTGTTCTGGACTTGTCTGACCGGCGAAGAAAGACTGCACGCACAGCACAGTACTCGTGCACGCACGGCAATTGGCGTGCCAGGACTTGTCGGCCAGGGACTTTACCATGTGCTGGACTAAGTTGGGCTGTTACACAATGTCCGATCACTAGTCCTGGACTTCGCCTTTTCAGCTGCTAGCCTAGAAGCATCTGGAACACACACACACACAACTGGCCTGTTCAAAAAAATTGGGACATGAGAAGCACACAGTGCAGACGTGAAAGATTCTGCTTTGTCCAGCAGAAGGAGAATCCCTCTTTTGACGGGGTTTGGCTGAACACATGATCAATCCAGGAGCACGAAAGGTGTTGGTCTACTTTTCCTCTAAAGGGGCACTACTGTGTGAGTGGTACCGTACCCAATCAAGAACATCCCAGCCTGTTCACCATTTGACCTGAAAAAACGAAGACACTTAATGAAGCACTCTTCCTTTTGACCTCTTCTCTTGCCTTCTCACGAACCTCACACTGCCTTTTCCTGAGAAATGCCATGGCCGTGGACGTGATGATGAAGAACCTCTATGATCCCTTTGATGGTAGAATCGACTTGAAGGAGCATGGCAGCATGGGATGCATCCTCATCGGCCTTCGGTTTCCTAGTTTCCTGATGTTTTCGGGGTTCGCGAGAACACCAATCCGGATCCATAATAGCACTCATTTTGGTTCAACAGATTTCAAAAGGGTACTTCATACAACTCAGCGGGGTTCCAGCTTCATGCCAGCAGAATCACGATGGACATCCACGACATTATACTATTATATAATCATATATAATCATACATGATCATACATGTAACATCATCGAGAACAGCCCAACCTTTGTTTTCGGCCAGTCAGACCTTCGGCTTTTCAACAAGGGTGATGCTACCGTTGACCAGGAGCGAGTGCTTCGCTCCGTCAGCACACCGCCTGAATTGATGGTACGCACCGTTGAGGGGACCGGGGCCGAAGGGGTGTCCACGAGTCCGGTCCAACCGGGCATTTGCCATAAATATCCTATTAGGTTGGAGGCCATGGCTAGTAGGTTGGAAGCCATTGCTATCAGGTTGGAGGCCATCGCAATTAGGTTGGAGGCCAT